CTTAAAAGCATAAAAAAAATAATCATCAATAAACCATGTATAACACTACGCCCCCATTATATGGATGATTTTAGGGTTAAATTTCTAGTATTATACATGAATAAATACAGTAAGTAGACAAATGCAACTCTCTTGTTGTTTTTAGGTAAACTGGACTTGATTTAAAACTTTACGATGTCGTATACTGTACGTATGTTTAAGCATAACTGCTCAAAATGACTTGCCTTGCACGGTTTTAGAGCATAACCACCCCATTTGTAGATCTGAAGTTATGCCCTTGGTCTTTACTTAAAGCCAGACTCTGATGTTGATAAGAAAAATCCAAACTTGACAGCTGTATTCATCTCAACATATAAAACAATCTTTACAGTGCGTTTGATAAAACACTGTTTATAACACAAGAAAAACTAATTTAAATATCTTACAGTTAACTTGGCTTGCGGTCAGGCGAACATCTTCATTCGGACAGTCCAGGAAGGAGAGGCGGGCCGTAGTTCCTGCAGCCACGGTTATCTGGTCTTTCACCTCAGAGTTTACACTGATCTCACAAAACGGGTCAGAACCCACCTTCTGGATTTGCAGGGAGACTCCGCTGAGTTTGGTTAAATCCACAGTACAGAGAACTAAGACAAAAAAAAACCCCAGAAAAAGTGTGTTTTTAAGTTATTGTGTTTATATTTAAAACTCAAATTGGTTGTTAGTTAAGTACAGAAATGCCTTTTTCATATTTTACCTGGATGACCGCTTCTCATCACAGAGACTCTGTAGCTCAAGCTGAGTCCTTGCAGGGTTTCGTTGGTTTCGCAGTTCTTCAGCACCATGCTGAAGTCGCCCTGCTGATGCTGAGGCTGAGGATCAGTCAGCGTCTTCTTGACCCCCTTCCCGTTCTGATACTCCACCACTACGTCGCCTGAAAGGCACTCGGGCTCCGTGTGGTCGAGGAAGTGGACGGAGTAGTTGTGCATGCCGGGCACCTTGAAGTCCCACTGAATCTGCTGGCGATCGGGGAAGTGTTCGGGGTAGTTTGGTGTGATGAAATCRGTTTCTGATGAACCTCGCGGCAGACTGACTTCCACAGTGGCCACCTCTGAGGAGGGACGATCGGAGGATAATGTGGTTAAAAACAGAAAATTAAGAACATCTAGTACCTTTTAATTTCTTTACATGCACTGTTTCACATTTTATTTGTTTTAACTGAAATTTGGGCGACAAGAAATTGTTGGATTTTTTGTAACAACGCTTGTTGGCAATAAATCTTTTACCGGGCACCTGATTGGAAGCACCTGGGATACCAAAATCTCAACATAAGTGTCAATAGCAATAACCAAGAAGCACAGTTAAAGGCACAGTGTGTAGGATTTGTTGTTTTCAGCGACATCTAGTGGTTGAATCATCCTCCCTGGTCCTCCCCCCACCCCCACC